TCAAAAGTAGGTTTTGAGAGAGAGAGAAAAAGAGATGAATGCTTCATAAACTTGACAAGCCCTCGGGAAAGCTAAGGCCTTGTTGGTTAGTTGAACCGTTTCTTCAGCCAAAGTTAATTTGTACGAACCATATTGCTGTATGGTAGTTGGTATTGTAATAAAGGCTGTCTTTTACTATTATGTGTGTTGGGTGTTTCATTTCATGTTACTCTCGAGTGCTCCAATAATGCTGAGGAGAAAGTCACATCTCAAGTCAATTAGCAAAGCTTTTGCTTTTAATACTATTTTTTTTTTCTCATTCAGAATGATTAGCATTTAGCAGCAGATGATTTAAAAGCTGTGATGTGAGAGTCGGTGGCTCGCAATTAAACCTCTACGAGCTTTATTGGCTTTGGCTGGATAATAATTGCACGTTTTTATGGCAATTAGTTTATAAGGTGCGTCAAGAAATGAAGTCATTTTTGTGTTGAATTGGATCACATGCCTGCTGCTGTTGTCGGTAACTTTTTTCTGAATCACATCCCTAAACTTTATAGCTAATGAGTTAGCTTCATAAATAAATGGCTAACATCTTCAAGCGCATAACTGATTAGCCAACCACAATCAATCATTTACTGGCGTCAAATTTTGAACTGTGTCATTAATTTTTGATGAAGTTGGTCATTGTCAAATGCTAAGGTTTAAGAAGGAAAGTCATTCAAGAGCATGGAAAATCTAGTCACAAACTACTACCTACCCCATTTACTAGCGTGTAAAATTGGCTGTCATATGTTTAATTTGCAATTAGGTGGTCACTACTGGTGTTTCCAAATAAGAACGAATTATCTGCAGGCTAATTTGATCTCATCCAGCACTGGATCTTTAGGCCAAGGTTGAAAAAGTAATAACAACTGTAAAACGACGTAGTGTTTAACCGATACATCAAATTGCCTCATAAACTTTCAAATTTTGACTCTGGTTTTAGTAAATCTGCTCTGCATAAAACAGAGGTTGTATGGATCATAGATCCAAGAGGGCTCCATCCTGACCTAACTGACACCTACACTTGAATTTTGTTCACTTTTGACTTTTGACTTCTGACATGGCAGTAAAGCAAATTCGTGACCAAATTTACAAAAGCTTGGCCGAAAAACCACTTTCAATACATGACGGGCACAAAGTAGATCTTTCAAAGGCGCGCATTGGTCATCAAATATCAAGCGTAGCCCGCCACAGCTACTTATGGCATTGCCATAATCGCAACTACCCAGACTGGGTTGTTTTTGTACGAAGTGGGCCCTGTTTTGCCCCAGTTGACAAGTATCCCGACCTATATAACACCCCATGCTCTATCAAACTTCCACATTACCAAGCTCTTCAGCATCATTGTTCAATCATAGACAATATATAGTCTTTTTGTTCTGTTTTGTTACTTTCAAAACCAACGACGCCTCCATGGCATCGGCTAGTTCTTTGGCTTTGGGTTCATTGGCCATCTTTGGTCTGGCCATGGCATTGGGAACTTTGAGCTCCCAAGCTGAGGGTCGGGCCTTTTTTGTGTTTGGAGACTCACTTGTTGACAATGGCAACAACAATTACTTAGCCACCACAGCTCGCGCTGACGCTCCTCCTTATGGCATTGACTATCCAACTCGTCGACCCACTGGCCGTTTCTCCAATGGCTTCAACATCCCTGATTTTATCAGTTGGGTTTTCTTCCAATCCTGTTTTTCTTTGTACACATATCTGTTTTATTTATTTATTAAACTGACTTAAGATGTGTGTATGAATATATTTACAGGCCAGCAAATTGGTGCAGAATCCACATTGCCATATTTGAGTCCAGAGCTCACTGGACAGAAGCTACTAGTTGGTGCCAACTTTGCCTCTGCTGGCATTGGCATCCTCAATGACACTGGAATTCAGTTTGTCAGTTCTAATTACTTTTATGCAGTCTCAGTTTCCGAATGCTAGTTAGCTTTCATTGAGGTACTTAATTAAACTAATCATGTATGTTATGTGAAATTTTGGCAGGTAAACATAATAAGAATGTCCAGGCAATTGGAATACTTTCAACAATACCAGCAAAGGGTGAGTGCCCTCATCGGAGCTCAACGCACCAAGCAGCTTGTGAATGGAGCACTTGTCCTCCTCACCGTCGGCGGCAACGACTTTGTGAACAACTACTATCTGGTGCCTTTCTCTGCAAGATCACGCCAGTATGATCTCCCGGATTATGTCAAACTTCTCATGTCCGAGCTCAAAAAACTTCTCTTGGTAGCCAACTCCTAATTTCATCTTGTAACTTGTTGGGCAAGTCACACATCACTTTTAATGTCACCACAAAATTAATTAATTTAATGGTGTTGTGTGGTTTTTCAGAGAATGTATGACCTCGGAACACGAAGAGTTCTGGTGACAGGTACCGGGCCGCTAGGCTGCGTGCCGGCAGAATTGGCGCAGCGAAGCAGGAACGGCGAGTGTTCAGCTGAGCTGCAAAGAGCCGCGTCTTTGTACAACCCTCAACTCGTTCAGTTGCTAAAATCACTCAACAGCCAACTTGGTTCTGACGTCTTCATTGCTGCCAACACACAGCAGACGCGAAACGATTTCATAAGCAACCCTCAAGCATTTGGTAAATATTCATGATCATGGGGGCTAATCTAATAATATTAATTGTTAATAAGAAATGATTTTGATTGAATTATAATTTTTTTTGGACACAGGGTTTTCTACATCAAAGATTGCATGCTGTGGACAGGGACCGTACAATGGGTTAGGATTGTGCACGGTGGCCTCAAACTTGTGCCCAAACAGAGACCGATACGCTTTTTGGGATGCATTTCACCCATCAGAAAAGGCAAACAAACTGATCGTTCAGAACATTTTGACAGGGTCCACCAAGTACATGAACCCCATGAATCTCAGCACCATCTTAGCTTTGGATTCGAGGACCTAAACGACGTCTTAATTTGTCGTTCCATGCCATCCATTTGAATTGGAACTATATAATTTATGAGTGTATTTCAAGATCATTGATACTAGATCTATATATGTTAAATGCTACCAAATGTTTGTGTGTGCTGGAATTTCAAGTGATTAAAACGGATGGAGCTTTCGAGTTTCCTTGTTTATAGTTTGTAATGGTTGATGGGCATGTACCAATGAGCCTTTATTCATTTTGTTTTTAAACTTGTGTGATCTCATCTTGGTGTTATTTCTAGCTATTTTATTTCCTCCTAATTGCGTTTGTTTTAATTTTCACTTGTTTATTTAGCTAACCCGTCCCTCACTATCAATAATATATCAATATTATAAAAGAATTAATTTTGGGTTCATATTAGATTATTAATTTAGTTTATCATTTGTATATATATATTTTGAAAAAAATAAAAATCTTGAGATAACTAAGTAGAAGGTGGTTCTGCTGTCGAATATAAATGCAGGTGTGGTTTAGTCAATGTTAGGAGGTGACAATTCAAATTAGTTTCCGACTTAGCTGGTAAATGAACGTCTCAAAATCCTTGACCTCTCAATTGTTTTATATTTTCTTGTATCTTCTTTCTCAATCCCTTTTCCTATCTTTTTTGGTCGTAAAAGTCCCCTCTCCTATCGGGTAAAAGAATTAAGAAGAAACAAAAAGAGGGTTTACATATAAAAAGAGTCTTTCCAATATGTAAACCCTCTATTTTATATAATTTAAATATAAAGCTATTGGAAAGACTAAAATGGATGGAAAATTGGATGATATTAGAGCATCTCCACCCACAATGGCTAAGTCTAAGGCAAGGGCAAGCAAGGGCTGCAACTATTCACGTAAATAGTGTCAGCCTTTGCATTTGTGGTTCCACCTATGAAGGCAAAGTCTAAGGCAAGTCAAGGGCAAGAAAAATATATATATATATATATGCAACAAAATATAAAATTGTTATGTATTTATAGGGAAAATATCCATAATTTTTTGTTATTTTTTTAAAAAAAAAATTGAATTTTTTATAATTTTTTAGAATTTTTTTTTGCTCGCTGACGTCATCATAACACCAGCGCTGACGTCAGCGCCCTCGGGCTGAAGCCCAGGAAAAATCTGCCCTTGGGCTTGCCCGGGCTGGTGGGACCCAGAGCTTGCCCGGGCTGCAAGTGGTGCGCTGGAGCTGTATTGGGCTTGCCCGGGGGGCCTTTTACCCAGTTTGATAGCAACGCTGGAGTTGCTCTTAAAGTCAGGTGACACATCATGGATTTTGAGAACTTAAGGTGACATTTTGCTTAAATTTTTCTTTAAAGTGACAAATTGAAACTAATGTATAAGTTCATGTGACATTTCTACAATTATCCCAAAATTCAATTAGATGTTGCTTTCTTGGCTTAGACGTGCTTATCCTTATTAAAAACAAGGAAATATTATCATTATTAACATGCTATTTTTAATAGGATTGGGAATTTGATTTGCAACTGAACTGGATCACCAAAGGATTTGGAGTTAGGACTTTGCCTCTTACCTACCTACGTACAAGTTACAACTACTACAAAGTAGAGGTGAGGTGCGCTTCTTGCTCTTTGCTTTGCAACACCATATATATACAAAGACAAAACCCCTACCGCAGTCCTACATGATGAGACAGATTCATAACATGGAAAATCCATTACCAGATGTAACCAAGGAAACAGTCCAACACAAGGTATAATATTATTACCTATCTATGAGACAGATTCACGTGAATAGTGTCAGTCTTTGCATTTGTGGTTCCACCCATGAGAGCTAAGTTTAGGGCAAGTCTAAGGCAAATACTATTCATATGAGATATGAGGAGATGAATTTGTATATAGTTTTTTGTGTGGGAAGTAAAGAATATGCCTAGGTATTTATTTAAAAAAATTCTGAAATTTTTAGTTATTTATTTATTTATTTATTATATTTTTTGGGGTTGCTGACGTCATTATGACGTCAGCATTGCATCAGCTTGCTCTGGCAGCAGCTCGGGCTGAATTTGCCCTTGGGCCTGCCCGGGCTGGTGGAACCCACCATGAAACCAGGCTGCATCTGCTGCGCTGGAGGTGTCTTGGGCTCGCCAGGGCAGCCTTTCCCCCAGTTTGGGTATGGCGCTGGCGATGCTCTTAGAGGCCTCACACCGGAGTTAAGACACAAGAAAAGCCGTAGATATGTCGATTGGGTGAGTCGTGTAATGGAACAACATAAAGGTCCAAAAATGAAACGATTCAGTGATCGTCGTTTCACTACTTCCATTGACAGATGGATTCAAATTGCAATGACAAAGGGAGTTGAAATACTAGAGTTGGAGTTTTTTTTAGGAGACGGGGTCATTGACAAAGGTCACTATGCTTTTCCTTACAAAGTATTAGGTCTTGAAAAAGTACCCAATTTTTTTGGACACAATTTTATTGGTTTTAAGTCGCTCAAAGTAGTTAATTTCAAACATGTTGATGTGGCTGAAGAAATTCTCGAGTACTTGTTGTCTAACTGTCCAGGTCTTGAACAGTTGAGTGTATGCTTCCTCAAATTTGGCAAATCTAAGAGTTGTTGGTTCATCATCGGCTGCGTTGAAGTACCTAGCGATAAAACATTGTTGTCGCCTCAAAAGCATTCAGATTCGTGAAGCAGCAAACCTTGTTTCCTTTATTTACTATGGAGGTTCGGTAAGCTTGCTTCTCAGTGATGTACCATTGCTCACTGAAGTATCCACTGAAGAGGCTGACTGGGGTGTTGATTCGATAAGGGTTGTGTTCCCTCAACTTTCATGCTGTATTCTTTCTCGGCTAGAGATTCTCATGTTGGATATCACCCCAGTGACACTGGTTAGTATATCTAGCTAGTCATGAACATGTGGTTTTTCTTCTTCTTTTCTTTTCTTAACTACTCCTTTGGGTTTCAGGACCACGATGATTTTGGCCCACTTCAGAATCATGCATTTCCTATATTAGCAAATCTCAAGCAATTGGAATTAATAGTTGAAGCAGATTATTGCTTGTCTCTTCATCACTTAAGTTCTTTCATGAAGGTATCTCCTTACTTGCAGAAACTTGTATTGAAGGTATATATAACAAAATTTGGTATTTGTGTACGTGCATTTTCAGTGGTTTTGTCAAACTTCTATTCATTCCGTTGCCAATTGTACCAATTGTGAAGGAAGGAAAAAAAAAGTGTAAACAGAAACTCAATTGTTCTTCCCTTGGTGCAGATGAATTTCGTAACATGGAGGCGACCAAAAGTAAAGACAGTTGCCAAATGCCCCCATCCTTACCTCAGGGTAGTAGAAATAGTCGGGTATTGTGGTCGTGCATGTGCAGCTAAACATGTCATGTACCTAATGAAGAATGCTGTTTCACTGGAGAAAATTGTTATTGATCCTGTTCTCAACCATTCAACAGATAAGAGAGTTGAAGAAGTAAAAGATGAAGTGTTTGCAAAATATCATGCTATGCAACATATTAAAAACAAAGTGCCATCTACAATTGAATTTGTATGTATTTAGTAGTTGCAGTGCAACAGAGAACAATATGCTTTCTGTGAATTTCAAGCTGTATAGGTATGTTTGCGTCAGGGTTCGTCATTGGGCAGCCCTAAATTTTTGGGCTCGATTCGGGCTTGGTGGGCCTTTTAAAAAAAAAGAAAAAAAAAGTAAATGTCTTGTTTTTTTACTTTAATTTATTTTTATATTACTTAATTTACTTAAGTTTACAATGTAAATAAGGAAATACCCCAAATTCGGATTCAATTAAAAATACTAGAAAATCAAATTCCCAACAAAGTATAAGATACAATTTATACCAATAGTAATACATCAATAAGTCAATGTAAACTTTATACTAATCTATATTATTGTGCATCAAAATTTAACTACATATCGGACTACTCACTTGAAGTCACTTCGCCCCAGCGGGCCAAATGATGACCTCTAGTTTGCGTGTACTGGAATGTATGGTACTTAAAATTGATCCAGTTTTCGAGTTACTTGTAGTTTGTAATGAGTGATGGGCAAGTATTGAGCAGAGACTCCATCTAACTCTCAATCCTTGAAACTTATTTTTTTTCTTTCCATTTTTCAAAAACAAATTCAAAGCTTACTGCTTTAAACATATGCACTTAGAAGTTGCATTAATATTTACCATTGAGTCTTTGATCATTGGTTTTAACTTGATCAAATTTGTTGATCTTGGTTTATTTCTAGCTATTTAAACGTGTTGGTGTAGGTGGTTTAATAGTTGAAGTAGATTATCGTTGGCTTCTTCATCAATTAAATTCTTTGATCAAGGCATCTCCTTACTTGCAGAGACTTGCATTGAAGGTATAGACAGAGATATTTATTAGCAGCACTTAGCAGATTACATAAATACAGAAAAGTAAAAACATACTGAATAAAGAAAAGTATAGGCATACAGAAAGCAAAAAGGTTAAACTTTGTCTTCTTGGTTCTTATTAAATTTCTCCCTTGGTGCAGCTGCAATTTCAAACATGGAAGTGCGATGGAAAATTAAAGAAAGCTGCCATTTGCCCCCATCATTACCTCAAGGTAGTAGAAATAGTAGGGTACCGTGGTCGAAGACTTGCTGTTACACAAGTCATGCACTTAATAAAGAGTGCTGTTGCACTGGAGAAAATTGTTATTGATCCTGTTCGGCGTTGGTTGTATCCTAAGGGAATGGAAAGGGTACTTGCAGAAGTCGAGAAGGAAGTGAAGGCAAGAGATCATGCTATGCAACATATTAAACACAAAGTGCCTTCAACAATCGAATTTGCATGCCTCTAGTGAGTGCAGTGCTTCAAGTATCTAAATATTGTGTTGGTATTATTGGTTGCAGATGATGATGACTCATCAATGAATATTATTATATGTCTGATCAATATTTTGGCATTGGGAACTATCAATATTTTTAGCATTGCTCCTCAGTTTAACAGAGGGTCAAGCCTTCTTTGTTTTTGGTGACTCTCTGGTTGATAGTGGCAACAACAACTATTTGGTAACGTTTTCTCGTGCTGACACTTACCCTTATGGAATTGTTTCTCCAACTCGACGAGCCGCGTGCCGTTTTGCTCTGTTTTGCTCTCCTTTCCTCTGTTTGCTCTGCTTTGCCTTCTGCTTGTCAGCCAAAATGGTGACTGCAACTGCTGATCCAAATACTCCACACACATGGATAGACAACTGAGCTACTTCCATGAATACCAGCAAAGAGTGCAAGTTCTAATCGGAAGTGAGGAGACCAAAGGACTCATTAGCCAAGTATTTGTCTTATCATTCTCGGCGGCAATGATTTTGTTAACAACTAAGACTCGAGGTCGAGGTCCTCCTCCCCTGCTCAATCTTGCCACCACCCCTTTCCATATTTTATCAAGCTTATCATCTCTGAGTACAGGACGAATGGGATGTGCTTCTGCAGATTTAGCTGCAAGAAGCACAAATAGTAGATGCTCAGCTGAACTTGAACATGCGGCTGACTTGTACAACCCATAGCTCAATCAAATGTTGGCAAAATAACAAAATTGGCAAAGATGTCTTCATCTCTGTAAAGAAGAAAAAAAATGCAGAGGAATTTTATCAGCAACCCCCAAGCATTTGGTATATATAACTGATTACCGCCTTAATTATTATTATTATTTTGGATTTAATTTTTCTAGCTAAACTATGTTGTTTAATGAAAAATAAAACTTTTCTCATTTTACCTAAACACTTTCGCATGTGTGCTTTCATGTTAACTTGTTGTATAATGCTCCAAACATAATTCTATCAAAGGATTTAGAACATAGGAAAGTGTTGTATAGTTAGGGGCGGAGCTAGGATTTTATATTTGAGGAGACCAAAATGTTAAACACAAAAAGTTTAGTTGTATATCTTTTTGGCCTATTGAGTAAACTATTGCCTACAAAAGCACTAAATTGAAATGAATGGTTTTCTTTCTTAAATGTAGTATGATTTTACTATTATATTCATATTAAAATACAATTTTGACAAGTATTGATTTGTGTGAGGGGGCCATAGGCTTAAATATAGCAATTTTTCTTTGCATTTGTTATATACATTCGAAGGGGTTAAATAAATTTTGGGAGAGGGAGGGGGGAAAAGGCCACCCCTAATAGCTAAGTTGTACCTTTCTTTTTAATGTTTGAAGATGTTTCACGTTTGATATATTTATTAATTGAATAATTTCAAAGTCATAATGTAAATTATTTGACATTTACATGGCACAATTGCCAACCTTTCTTTATTTAACTGGATTGAGGTTAACAAAGTTATTTTAAAAAAAAAAAGTTGAAAAAAATAAGACTAAGGAAAAAAAAACTCAAAAACAGTAAAACCCATTGAAAACAATTAAAAAACAGTTAAACCCCTTTGAAAAATAAGATAAGAAAACAGTTAAACCCTCTCCCGCTCAGCCGCTATTCAATCCCTTGGCCTGTACAGAAAAGCACCCGCCTTAATACCCACCTTATCCACAGTCGCATGCACTCCAATCCAAATGTCCACTCTCCTCCTCCCCTCCATCAATTCATTCCCCACCTTCCCCTGCAAATTCAAATGCCCAAACGACACCGTTTCTGTCGTCGTACGCGCGTCAGCGGTCTCAGCCCCTGAGAAGCGAACCCGAAGGAAGCGGAGGCAGACCAAGGGCGACGATGATTCCTCGTCTCCTTCTTCCTCAGCCGCCGAGAAGAGCCTCCGCTTCACCTTCATGGAGGAGCTCATGGGTCGAGCTCGAAATCGCGACGCCAATGGAGTCTCTGATGTGATTTACGACATGGTTGCTGCTGGCCTCACCCCCGGCCCTCGCTCCTTTCACGGCTTGATCGTCGCTCACGCTCTCAACGGCGACACCGAGGCTGCGGTCTGTACATTTTTTTTTCTTGTTCCGCATTGGATTTTCATTTTTATTTTCCTTAATTTCTTAAGATATTGTTATTTCATTTTTTTTTTGTTGCTATATGAACGTTAGATGCAATCATTGAGAAGGGAGTTGAGTTCGGGGCTTCGTCCTCTCCACGAAACATTCATTGCTCTGATTCGGCTGTTCGGTTCCAAGGGTCGTGCTACGAGGGGCCTAGAAATTCTTGCGGCCATGGAGAAATTACACTATGACATTCGCCGAGCTTGGCTTCTTCTTGTTGGTACAAACAAATCATGATAATAAGTTGCACATTATTTATTATCTGTTCCTTAAAATGTGAGGATTTCTTATCTGAGTTTGTGTGAGCAGAGGAGCTCGTTCGGACCCGCCATTTGGAAGATGCCAACAAAGTGTTCTTGAAGGGAGCCAAAGGTGGCCTCAGAGCTACTGATGAGGTCTATGATCTTCTTATAGTTGAAGATTGTAAAGTTGGGGATCATTCTAATGCCTTAGATATTGCCTATGAAATGGAGGCCGCTGGCCGGATGGCAACAACTTTTCATTTCAATTGTCTTCTTAGCGTGCAGGTGGCCTTTCCTGAAATTTTTTTGTGAACTTGTTTTGTTGCTTACTTTATCTGAACATAATATCGATTTAGGGGTTGTTATTGGATTAATATCATCTTTAAAACTTTTCAAATAAAAAAGGAAGACAAAGGGCAGGGTAACACGAGTGATTCGAAAGTAGACAAATCTCCGATGTTGTAGTTCTACATTCGAAAGTTATACGCAGAATTTGAAATTAGAATAGGGTTGAAATCTGCATGTTGTAGCAGTTGGCTAAAATTTCCACATTTTGCTAGTGAGTTACTGCAAGCATCTTTAGCCAGTCTGATGAAATTTTTTTCCCCTTTAAATGCTATAGGCTACTTGCGGAATTCCTGAAATAGCGTTTTCTACGTTTGAGAACATGGAGTACGGAGGAGAAGGTTCGTATATATTTGTTTGAAATTTGTTGTTGGTGCTTGTATAAGTCTTACTTATGATTAAGCTTTCATAAGAACTTGTGCTAAAATTATTCAAATTTGACTTTATGCCTGCTTAATGGTATTCCTAGCCTTATTGAAGTTCCTTTCCTTGCTGGCTTGGGACAATATTTGTTTGTATTGAAGTACTAATTTAACTTTTGGACCATGGTAACATATATGTATTTTGGTTATTCTGGTTTCAGCATGACATGTGGTTTATTATACTTTTGTATTATGAAATTGAGTTGTATATTGCTGGCTGCAGAGTTATTTATGTTTGTTCAAGTTTAATACTTCTCAGAAGCCTTTGTTTTCTGTTCTTCAGGGTTTATACTTATAGTTTTCTTGACAAAACAGAATACATGAAACCTGATACTGAGACATATAATTGGGTGATCCAAGCATATACCAGAGCTGAATCATATGACAGGTAGTTTATGTAGCCATAAGTAATTCCTGCTATGTTTCTTTATGAGGAATGAATCCTTATAACCTTTAGCAACCTGTAGGAGGCAATCTTAGTTCTCAAGTTTTGTGTTTTCAATTTTCTGTTTCGTCAGCTTTGCATGATAATTATATTTATGGAATTTTGACAACTTCTTAAGTTGTTTTGAGTTCAAGATTATGACATTGCCATGAGGCGCTTTATGGACCCTTTTAATCTTATGAACCCTCCTTGGGGTCAATTTGACATGTAGAGTGCAAGATGTTGCTGAGTTACTTGGCATGATGGTTGAAGACCACAAGCGTTTGCAGCCTAATATGAAAACCCATGCGTAAGCATCTTTTTGTTTGCTTATTTAATTATGTAAAAGTTAGTAGTCCATGTCCATGCAGACCATCAACTTTATCAAATGTTGAGCTTTGGCTGCCAACATTGTAGCTTTTTTATAGTTATTTTTCCCCTCAATTGTCTCTTTTTCAATGTGGCTTGGGGCAGAGACAATCTTGAGTTCAACCAACATCTTGTGTTACATTGTATCATACTTCTTTCATTTTTGCTTTTCTTTTCTTTTGAAATATGTTGTTGTGCCTTGATGTTCAGATTGTTAGTTGAGTGCTTTACCAAGTATTGTGTAGTTCGAGAGGCAATACGGCATTTTCGTGCCCTCAAAACTTTTGAAGGGGGAACAAAAGCTTTACATAATGACGGAAACTTTGGGGACCCTCTGTCTTTGTATCTGCGAGCTTTATGTCGAGAAGGTATACAGTATAATATGTTTCATTGATTCTTCTTAACAAAAGTAATCTCATTTCTTCACACTCTGAATAATGGTTAGAGATTTCAGCAGCAGTTTTATTGCTATATGTTGTCTGCACTTAGTAATATGCAACCAAGGTTTTCGTAAAATTGTACCTTGAAAGTTTTGAATTTCAGGGAGTAGAAGTTGATAGGCAATCTACATGCTTAAGCTGAGGTATCACAGGAACTAAACTATCTTATATAATAACTCCTTCGTAGATGTATGCTTTATGCCTTTCTTGGACTAGGAAGTCATTGCCTAAACTCTATTCAAGCTGCTAAGGCAGTGCCTTATTAATTCGTATACATGATTTCCTACGTTGTTGTCAATTATTTAATCTCACAGTAGGCGGCTGCGGTTTACAATTGTTGATGTGTCCAAAGCAATGCTGCTCCGGCATATCTGTTGTTTTGATGTAGCCTATAAACTGTTCAAGAGTAAACAAGCTAACAGACCATATTGGTAGCCCCAGTTGGCTTCTTTGATCAATATCAGATCTAATTTCTCTATTTTGTGGCATTGACAAGATGTTGGGCTTAGTTTATTTATATATACAATATTGTAGGTTTTAGGAGTTGGATATAGTCTGTTGTTGTTTCTCATCAATCTTATTTTATCTTCTCAAGATAGTGGGTCCATTTTAATCCTTTCAGAGGTT